ATGCGTGGGCCCGTGCACCTCTCCTCAGTCTCCCTATTCCAAACCTGCCTAGACGGGTGCTAGGTTGGGGGGAGCTGTTGCACTTTTCCAAAACCTAACCCTAACCTAACCCTGGCCATGAATATTTAGGGATTCACACCTGAGAGACAATGGGACATCAGTGTGACTGAGTCTGTGAGCCAGGTAAGAAAGAATGTGAGATTAAAATAATGGGGGGTTTGTTTTTTTCTATTTGATTTAAAACACAGTATAATCAAAATATACACAGTGAAGGTCAAAGACACATTATTGAGCACACTGCTCTAAACTCGGAGACGTGAAAAGACTTGTCATTCCTGAAAACAAATCCTGTTCAACAAGTGAAACAAGTAAACCATTGTGAAATTAATTTTACATTTAATCATAATAAATCATAAAATCAGTTGATCACAAAATAATGTCTAACACTTCTTTTCTTGCAGTCCTAACTTTTGAGTACGTGCTAGGGAACAAAGATGTTCTAGCCTTATTTAGTGATGTACTAATGACTAATAACAATACATTATTGAAGGAATAGGCTGAGATAATCAGTAACTAAGGAGAAGGGGTTATTGATTTGCCACATAAGGGAACCAATCATTGTAGAGGAAAATGATGTAATGTGACATGATGTTACCTTTGCTATGTACCTACCTTATATAAACTATCCTTGTAGAGTGAAATAAAAAAATCCACCCTATCTTTGTTTTGTTCCTCTTTTGGAAAGTCATGTAATGAAATAATGGGTTTTTGTTTTGCTGTCGGAGCAAATGGAAACAAACTTATATTTGCCATGGTTTGATATTCGTATTGCTCTTTGCAACATGTGACCAATAGCGAATTTTATTATTATTTTATTATGATTTTTATTAAGTACATTTATAATTGTTTTTTTTTTCTCTTGAAATGCACTGGTGACCACTGCTGAAAAGTGTTGGAAAAGTGCTTGCATTTCACTCCTAAAAATCTGTAGTAGGAACTTTGCATATACTACAGAAAACTGCAAACAGAGAAAACTGTAACAGGGCCAAATACCTTTATTCAACAGTGTAGTATTACACTGACTGTTGGTAACTCCTGTTGCTGATTGGTCTGCCTTGAGGCTTTTGGGTGTGTTTTTCCATCCCTCTGCTTTATATAAAGCAAGTATCTCTCAAGTATCAAGTATCTCCCTCTGCTTTATTTAGATACAAGTATCTCTCAAACTTGATCAAGGAGAAGCTGCTCGTCTGTCTCAGTCTACAGTCATCCAAGTAAGTATGTTTCTAATACCGAGCAGTTGTGGGATCATAGTTCATTTAAACATTTGTATTCTGTAGTCAAAATTATTTTGTATTACATACTTATTGGTCCCACTTTATATTAGGTGGCTTTAACTTCTATGTACTTACATTTAAATTAATAATTTGATAAAATGGACAAAAAAAACAGTAGTGTAATTACATCTGTAATTAAATTCTGTAATTACATATATAATTACACTGTTGACCCATCCCTTACACCTTAACCCACCCTTAAACCTACTCATACCACCAAACCTATCACTAACCTTACCTGCATCCACCTCAATAATAGCAAAAGTGTTTTTCAATACAATATGAACACAATAAGTACATTGTACTTATTTTTTGATGTAAGTACAAGGCCACCTAATATAAAGTGGGACTGACTTATTAAATATGCTAACTAGTAATTAATCAAATAGATTAAAAATTGAAGACTGTAAATGAAATATTTGGGTCACAAGAAGAATATAAAAGACAGAGCTAAGGAGATAGTAACTTTGACTAATTGCCTTGTTAATAGAATACTGGCCAAAAAACCTTGCTCATATGTTTGTGAAACATGTCAGAACGTTTCTATAAAGTTCCTTAGAAAGGTTTGCTTTACAATCAGTCATTAAGCTTCATTTTACCATTTAGCAGACTCCAATCAGACTGATTATATTGCTCATATTGATCATTGACATCACTTTAGAAAGTTCCTTATAAAGCTATTTAAGATATGATTGCCTTTATTTGTAATCAGAATATAAAAAGCTATCTGTTATTTGTGTTGTACGTCACATCTATGTAGTGACAGTGCTTAAGTGGTGAGTCATTCGCAAAAGGTTGTTCTATAGTGATATAGGCTTTTGGTCTGCTAATTACAAAGGCATGTACAGTGACCGTAAGGACATTTAACCTGCCTGACCGCTCTCCAAATTCAGGAGAAGCAATTAGTCAGTGGCAGGGTCCCAGTACAATTTTTCTGATAAACCATTGTCTGATGAGGTAGGTTACAGTACATCTGAAAATAGGCTTTCCTATTCATTGAACATTTTAATTTACATAATCTGAATTATTTAAAACGTGAAGGCTGATTGTAAAGCCAGCTGAAGTAAAAAAATATCCTGTGCATCCTCTTCAATCAAATGATCACACACATATCACCCCGCCCACTCGCTTTGTTTGTTTGTTTGTTTTTTTGCTAACTTTTTTGTCTTGTGTGTCTCTAGATGATATATGCAAAATTGAATGTGAATCTGACAAGTGAATCTATCAACTCAAAATGGCTGACAGACTCTGCAAACACAGAATGTTCACCTAATATTAGTTTATGGTTGTCTTTTAGTTATTCCTATCTTATCTGCTTTAAATGAAAAAGTGGTAAGTCCTAGAAACACCAAATTTGGCAGGGTTGTCCTAAATTCCTCCCACTACTCAGGTGTGCTCAAACACACTCCCATTTAAACCTTGGTGGTGGTATAATAAACACTTAAGTATTTTCCTCATATCTCCACAACTGGCTACAGGCTAGAATCAAATTCAGAACAAAACATATATCTTATCATATATATTTTATTGACCTCTATAAAATTAATTGGTTATCATTAGTGTATTGGCTGGTTGATGCAGAGAATGAAAATGAAGGCTGGACCTATACACAAGAAGTATACTTTAATGAAAGCAAATTCAAAATAACGCTTTTCAGAATATCAAATACAAAAACCACAGCAAACAGAACAACCATTTTGTAATGATGAGATCAGACTATAAACGGAACAAACACAGGCCTATATATACAAAGGCAGAGGCATATACAAAGGCATGTCGTCATCAAACAATGAGTAACCGAGGAAACAAATGCAAACTCAGGAAACAGATGTGGATACACTGAAAAACCAACTCAAAGACTAAATCAAACAAATACCAAACATCACAGTTAGTTTTCTGAAAAATTTACTCAAGTCCAAGAAGTGCATTTTGACATTAAAAAAGTGTCTTTTCCGCTAGATGATTAAATGCATTGAAATAAATCTCAGGTTTATATAATCAGTTAGCTTTTATTTTTCCTCCCTCATATAAAGCTGTTTTGGCTTGATCTATTGAAGGACTAAAATAACAACATTCCTTTTTGTGTGGAGACTGAATGCTTGTCTTATTCTGTGTTGCAGGTTCAGACATGATGAAAGGCATTATTCCCAAGAGCAAAGCAAAAGGCACTGACTTCTGTGCAGAGGGCAAATACCATTATATAATTCGTTCTGATCTTGGCTGCTATATGCAGACAATTGATGTAAAAGAAGGTTTAGACATCTCTATTTTCAGTCTGCATCCTGCCTGCCAAAATGGAGACCATTACCTTGGTAGTGGAGACGGCTCCTTTTTCATCATCAAGGGCAAATCATTCCGCAGAGTCAACAACCTGACGAGAGACAGCGATGCTAAAGTTTACAGCCTTCATCCCAACTGCCAGGGTGGAGACCACTATTTTTCAACCTTTGGCTCTTGTTATTACATCATCTTCCAAGAAAAGGGCACTTATCGAATAACAACAGACTTGCATCAAGACACAAAAGGGGAAGAACACAAGCTGCATCCCAACTGCATAAATGGTCTCTATTATTGGGGCATGCCAAACCGCTGCTTCTTCCTCAAGCCAGTCTCAGATTGGGGAGTTGAGTTCTGCGGCAGTAATGACATCAGCAAAGAGCAGTGCTTTGGTGTCTATTCTGTTCATCCCGATGTTCTTAACTTCCTTCCTGGTGGGCTGTCAGTAACTAAAGGCCCAGCATTTGGCATTTGGGAGAACATTAAAACTATAACTAATGACAGCACGACACCAGTGACATGGCAAAAGAGAATCAATAAAAAGGTTGGATATAATAAGGAGAAGATGTCCCAAATCACACACAACTGGAAGGTAGCCATGTCATCCTCGATTGAATCTGGAGACCTTTCAAAGTTAATTGCGAAGTGTCAGTTCTCCTTTTCTGCAGAATATGGAGGTTCACACGTCAGCACTGAAACCGAAAGCTGGAACGAAGCAACTGAAGTGGAAGAACAACTCACACTTGAGCTGAAGCCAAACGAGTCTTTATATCTGTGGCAGTACAGACTGAGTCTCGGTCAAGAACCAGTGTTGTTCTGCCGTGATTTGAAGATTTCTAATAAACCAAACCCTCCAACTGAAGTCCCGCTGCCACCCGCACAATCATGAAAACATAACAGGATGGTTTAACTACAAGTATCACCAAGTGCTTCAGTTAAATATCTTAATTATAACTTCTCAAGTGATTATTTAGATATCTGCATGCATTGCTTAAAATTAGACTAAAACTGTTTAAAATAGATAGGAACATTTTCAGTTCTAGTCAATGTAACCACAAATTACAACACTATTCATTATGATATTATTGAAACTTGGTGTTTATTATTAAAAGAAACTGACAGAATCCTATTTTTAATCTCATGAAATGTCTTCTTAAAATCTCAACCCAATTACAAATCTTTCAATATGGTTTTGAGAAATTTTTACTCTGGAAAAAAATGGGTGCTTAGCATATATTATTGTACATGTAGTTATAGATGTTGTCATAGTGTATCCAAAGTCTACTAAAGTGTTTGATTCACAAGTCATAAAAAGCTCTGCATTCTGTACTCGTGCATCTGGAATGTAAATGTAAGATTTTATTTTTATTTTTTTTTTACATATTTTCCACATATTTTACTTTATAGCATATATCATTTGGATTTTGCTTTTAATAAAGCTGCATACTGCTTTTAAAGTCTTGGTGTTTTCATTGGCATTCTTTTTCTTTATCAAAAAGCATTGTTGTGGTGTATGTTTGACAAATCTCCACTCCCAGATAGCACATTGTAATGGCAAATTTTAAGCAGCTCCCAACATACTTCGCAGACACTCTGTAAACGACTATCTAAATAAACTTAAGTTGTACCTTTCAAGGATGAGATGAGCAGGATGGAAAGATGTGAGCAAGGGCAGGATGGATGGATCAAATAAACAATATTCCTAAATGGATTCCAGTAGTCCATACAAAGGTTAGAGCAGGGTTGAAAGGCTACAAACTCAAGATCAAATTAATCAAATAAAATAGCAAAGCAAATAGCCTTAAAGAACTTATATGCCTAGTAGGTTGGTAGGGTGCTTCTTTGTTCTTTATTCTCTGACAAAAAGGTGAGAGGCGGCCATCTTTAACTTCACTGCCTTCTCACTGTCAATCAAAATAAAAGTATCTACAAAAAAAAAAACTTATATACCAAAATATATTTTAGTACTCTTATAACCTAAATAACAAATAAATAATGGCTCCAACACACATACATGTCTATTTGATGTGTGATGGTTTTTAAGAAATATGCAGAGGATGCTGTAAAACCAGAGATTCACGACCTGCAGGACTTTTCTGAAGAGTAAGGAGCAGTTTAACTGCTCAGGTCAAACTAGGGACATTTTTTAAAATTCAGTGATTTTGTCTTGTGGACTACATGAAAACATCTGTTAACTCTTTTCCCGCCAGCATTTTTGAAAAAAGTTGCCAGCCACCGCTAGCGATTTTGATGATTTTCACTCAAATTTGATGGCCTCCAGTATATTTTTCTGTATGAATATTTGAATATGCAATACACCAAAATAAATATCAGAGACTCTACTTTTAAACAAAAAAAATCAGTTTTATTCTACTTTAAAGCATTCTTTTTTTTATCAACACTTGAATATAGTTAGGTTTCATAAAAATGCATAATTTTGAGCAAAATTATTTTATCAAAAACTACATCTGGATAATATTCAGTGCGATTATCAAAGCATAAATCCAGTAAATCGCTTCCATCAACACCTCCAAAGCTTGCACAGACATATACCACTTCCTGGATCAACATTTTACTCTGTAACATTATGCAGTTTTCATTTATATGCTGTCTATTGCTGATGATGGCATTATTTTTCATATGCATCTGTTTACATAAGAGATCGCTCGTTTCTCCGTCCTGTTCACGTGTGTTTTTTGTTCGGGAGGTTTTGTACTTGTTCAGAAGATGTGTAATAGCGCCCCGAGTGTATAACAGTGAAAACACGAAAAGCCATAAAAACTTGTCTTTGGCGGGGAAGCGTTTTATTCTAAAAGATGAGATAACTCGTCAATGGTGGGGAAAGAGTTAAGTGAAGTAGCTTAGTTGAGGCATGAAAAAAACATGCAGTTTTCATGATCCCTCTTATATAGTTTAAAATATTTACATTTTCAGATTCTGCAAGGTGTATGTAATCTTATGTTTAAATACAACTCTATGTCTGTTTTTCTGTAGTGCTGTGTGTGCACATGGCTGGAAATGGGGGGAGGGGGGCATATTTGTGTCTGGTTAGCTGCAAAATGTTGCCTTTTGTGACTGGCCATAATACCTGCAGACTGCAGCCAATGGAAATACTTCTCTATTGGTTAAGGTTAGAGTGCTGGAGAGAATATGTAGAAATGAACTATTATAAATTATTATAAACTATTATAAATAGTTTTCAGTGCACTACTGTGGGAAGTTTGGATTAAAAATATTTATATGACAAACTTTTATATGATACTGCATGTTAAGGCCATATATGTCAAAAATATAATTTATATACGTAAGTTTCTTTAAACAACATATTAACATTCTGTATGCTTAGAGGATTTTATTATTAATTTGAACAGCTTGAATTTTGAACAAGTCTACACAGTCTACATTTCATTTTAACGCATATCCCATTTCTAAACACTTCAGTCAGGTTTTATTCTTGGCTTGGTGACAGAGTTCTGACATTCCTATTGTCTTGTCTTTGTGTGATTGTGCGGTTTCGTTCACTCGGGTTGTGCGCTCCTCCATGTACGTGAGTTGCTCTGTGTGTGGAGCACTTCAATCTAGTTTGGTTTTGGTTTAGTGTCGAGCTTCACACATTCATGCTCCATGTGTTTTTCTTTCATTGTGCGTGAATGGGATGAGCATTAGCTGGTAACACTTTAGAATACTGTTGCATCATTAATGAATAACTACAGAAGAACACATGAGTAAGGCAATATAAGCACTCTAGTGCTTATATTGTGCTTTGGGGGTTTTGTAAAGTATTGGTTGGTAATTATTCACGTGGTACTACATCCTTCTAAAGGAATTACTAATTTTTGGATCAGTATTCTAAAGTGAAGATCATGATAACTACCTAGTAATTACTGAAATCACTGTAAACTTTCTTTTTTTAAAAAAGGTTCTTGTAAGATTCTGGTTAGTAATTCATTTTGCTAGATTTGGTAACACTTAAATCATTACCAGTGTGTTACCGTGATCTTCACTTTAGAATACTGATCCAAATAATTAGTAATTTCTTCAGAAGGATGTAGTAACACTTAAGTCATTACTATCCAAAACCTTACGTATATCGCAAAAGCTTAGAATGACTAGTGTCTGTTTTGAGTTTCGCTTTATGAATGAATGATGCATTTGTATAGCGCTTTATTGTGTATTGCTGTACCCCCAAAGCGCTTTACAATCATATGGGGGGGTCTCTCCTCAACCACCACCAGTGTGCAGCATCCACCTGGATGAAAGGAGATGTATGGTGGAAAGGAGAGTATGTTTTGAGTCATGGAAGTAATTTAAGTGCCGGGGTAGCAGTTCTTTTCTCCCCTAATATCAAAGTTAAAATTTAATTAATAAATGAAGTTAGCCAGGAAGGCTTTTAATAGTTAATGCTGAAATCAGTTATTTTAAATTTTTGTTTGTGAATGTTTATACTCCTAATGTTGGGGCAGAAAGATTAACCATAAATAACCATAAATCCCAATCAACTTCATTACTATAAGTACTGTGGGCCTCTTGTAAGAATGTAACACTCAAATCCTTCAAACTTATAATTTCTGAAAGTACCCCATTTTTCCTCCCATCTCTCATCCCTCATCCCATTAATATTAAGTGATCCCACCCGCAAGATCTCCATGGGAAGAAGAGAGAGAAAAAAAGAGCAGAAAAGAAAAGAAGGGAAAAAGAAAGCCATCATGAAAGTTTAGTTCCCCTTCAGGAACTCGAGCTGCATCAAAACGCTATGGGAATGCTTTCAGCGTGACCACGCTCTGAATCACGTGTGTAATCAGTCCAATGGATGGGCGAGACATCACAGCTTAAAAGCATGTGTGGTGGATACAGCGGCAGCTTTCTGTCATTCAGCAAGCGCTCTGTGTGTGTGTCAGTCTCTATCCGTTTGTGAGTCTTATTTAGTGTTGTCTGTCCCTCACTATAAACCATGCCAAAGTCGAGTGATAAGACAAAACACTTGGGTGAGAGCAGACAGCTTTTCAGGCTGTGTGTTCCTCCCTGCCCACGCTACATTACGGGTGGGGATACACACAGTCTGTGCGTTGACTGCTTGGGAGCGAAGCATGCAGAGTCAGCTTTCGAGGGAGCGTCTGCCGCTGCGTACGCTTCTCTCCCAGAAGGCTCTCTTTGAGGAGGGAGCTTTCACCAGCGTTCCTCGCGGTGCCGGCCCTGCTTCCGCTGAGGCAGAGTGGCGGCTGCACTCGTGGGGATCGCAGATGGATCTGGTGGAGGGAATGGAGATGGGCGAGTCCCTTTCTTCTTCCTCACCCACCAGATCCAGCGCCCACTCTCTGGGATCGGAAGCCCGCTCTGCGGTTTCTTCCCCCTGGGGAGAGTGCTCGACGCTCTGTCTGTCTTCCTCCGAGGAGGTTGACGTGGAGGGTGTCAGTGAGGACTCACCCCTTCAATCACCCCAGTATGAGGAGCTATTAGAGGTGGTTACTCGCACTGTGGCCAAGCTAAACATCGAATGGCCCGCCGAGAAACAGGCTGAACCGCAGAAAAGCAAGCTCGATGAACGCTTTCTGCGGAGTAAGCTGCCACCTCCACGCTGGAGGGCTGTGTTCATGCCCCCTTTACAGGCTGGCGCACCAGATCCTTGTGTGGTCCCCGGGGAAACTCCTCTCGCTGAGAGCAGTTCATATCCTTGGGCATCTCAATATGGGAGCAGACATCCTGTCGAGGCAGGGGCCAAGGCCCGGGGAATGGAGGCTTCACCCCAAGGTGGTGAAGCAGATATGGAGAGTGTTTGGCCAGGCTCAGGTGGACCTGTTTGTGACTCAGAAGACATCGCACTGTCCCCTCTGGTTCTCTCTGACTCATCCAGCTCCGCTTGGCCGAGGCTTTGTCTGTACGCTTTTTCCCCCGATCGCTCTGCTCCCGGGAGTTCTGGAGAGAGTTCGCCGGGACAGGGTCTGTCAACTGCTAGTCGCCCTGTTCTGGCTGGGCTGAGTATAGTTCTCGGACCTGGTGTCCCTTCTCGACGGCTCTCCATGGGAGATTCCCGTCAGGAGGGACCTCCTCTCACAGGCGGAGG